TTTCTCTATCGCATCGAAACGTAGCTCAGATTTACTACATCAATCGAACGCGATCGCGTTGCGTTGAGATACCTGATTAAGAACGGTAGTTAGATGCGATATATCGAAAATACATTCATCTCGTCCGTTGTCGATGTGAAGGAGGCTATTAAATGGGTGATTAAATGATGACAATGACGACAATGATCGTAGTGACGATGTCGATGTACAATCGAACGCGTTCGAAAAACACGAACAGTGGAACAGAAACAAAAGAGAGAAAATATACGGGCAATGCGATAAGAGCGCAAACCAAAGATTTTCATAAAAGAGATTTCCGACTTGATAACAAGTCAGGTTCAAGTTCTTTGCGCTTGTTACTATTCGTCTTGTGTCTTTTTCATTACGCTCTCCGTCTTTCCTGTTCGAACATTTATTTAATTTGGTATCTTCACCTCGGACGAGGGAAGAGTCGGTTTTTACAACAGAGAAATAAAAAGAAGAAGAAGACGGAGGGAAAAAACCATTTCATCGAATGTTCTTCTTGAGATAGACACTAGTAGACACAGCGTTGCTTGAAGAAGGCATTGCCTGTGTGTGTTTGTATGTGGTTTGTTCAATGCAGAGCACACAAACCAATGAAATTTGCATAAATATAAAATACTTGCATTTCGAAACGAACAACAGTAATCAAACATGAGGTGGATCGGAGACCAAGCGCAAAGCTGCTAACACCAATGAGCCGAGCCACAGAATTACTGAAAAACACACGCAGCAAAAATCAAAACAGAGAAAAACGAGTAAAAAAGCGAAAGAAACGCACGACGAGAACATTGAAATACAACAGCAGACACCTCAAAAGCAGAAAAACATCGATACAAATGCACTGGTGAGTGCTTGCACTCGCACTTCCAAACAGAATATGGAATCTTCTTTTGAAAAATAGCCGCACTCATATAAAAATGCTTAGTGATTGCGCTTGTGCTGGGTGCGTGTTTACTCGTTTCTTCTTCTTCTTCTGTGTAGTCATTTGGCCGCGCTCATTTTCATTGTAATATACGAAAACGATCTATAAATTTTACATAATTTGTACGGCAAACATTTCCAAAGCAGCAAAACGAACTTTAACATGGACGGAGAAAAAAGAGAGAAAAGAAAACGATGGAATCGAAAAGTAGCAGCGCAATGTTATACCAGTGGGGAAAAAAGACGAACCGTGGAAGAACAAACAAATTAAAAAACAAAACCTTCGATTCGGCATTTTTTCTGTTATCTTTTGATGTTGATGTTGCCATTGATGGTTTGCGGTGTTATCGATTCGTTACTATTGTTCTTGTCTTATGATCGAAACGATTTTTTTTTTCGCCAAAAAAGGGTGGAGCAAATCATAACATATTCGTTGATTCGCTTCATTTTTTTTTCTTTTAACAAAAAATATTCAAAACTCATGGTAGTGTGTTCATACCCAAGCTGATTTGCATGAATTATTTATGACCGTAGGGGGTTGCCTCGAAATGTGAAGCAACATTACATCAACTATGAACTACTCCAATCATCTTATCATACATTATATGGACCCACGTCCATTGCACACATCATCTACGGATATGAAGATGGGTGAATTAACTTTGTTTTTGAATTTCAAATGAACAACGAAAAGAAAATCGTTTCGAGTCAAGGAGTCGCAATGGTGTGGTGTATGAATTCCAGATGAAACCCGATATTTATTGGTCTTTAGCACATTTGCAGACGATGTAAATCATAAAGTGATACTAATTTCTGACAATTATAATGTCATTGCTAATTTTTCCAATTGAACTGCTATTGTTTCGAATAGAATCGCTTTCCTTTTGCCGCGATATACTGTTCTCTTTGTGTCAGGTCTCTCACCTTAAGCTACCGTTATGCACATCAAACTGTATTATTTAAAAAATGGAAACAATCAAAAGGTTTTTCACACTCAATTGCCTTAAAAATGTTGCGTTTTTTGACAACTCCAATTTGGCATTCGTTTATAACAGAGCGAAAAATGTGTCGAAATTGTACACTACATTGCTGGTTTCCACAAAGAGTGTGATCGCATTTCTATTATCCATAACAATGAGTAACATGACTGAAGGCAGTCATCATAAACATCCAACGTCACAACAATTTAATCTGGCAGATTGTAAAATTCATGATTTTATTGTCTGATTTCCATTTTATCTGTAATGTGGTTTTTTCCTCCATTTTCATTCGAAATGAATGATTTTCATGAAATTCCATGCGCGAACATTCGACTGAACATGTCTGCACATTCATTTCTTAGATCGAATCTCGAACAAATATTCCACAGACATATCCAGTGTTCATCTAGTGTATTAATAGGCAATTCATTCAGCAAAACGAAAAAACTAAAATCGAATAAAAATCACCTCAGTCTTTCATAGTTTTAGAGTCATAAAGTAGTAGCTAAATGTTTGCTACTTCTAATCAGTTATTTATTATTCAAAATGATAAATTGCTCTTCGGATAGTGAGTTATGTTCCATAGTTTCACACAGGCTACCGTTTCTTTTGCAACCGTGTCTCTGTGAGCGATTGATGTTGCAATTTGTTTAAAAGATCATTTTGTTCTACGCAATGCTATTATTCGTGTCTGCTGTCGGAAGATAATAATAATCAAAACCAACGAAAATGACGCATACAACGATATTTGCAAACGTCACACAACACAATGACTAATGCATCACAAAACGTGATTTTGATAAATAGAAAAAGAAACTAAGTAAGCGAAACATTCGGATTTGTAATTGAGTCGAAAAATACGGGATATTCGTCATTTTATTTAGCCACAATGAGTGAGATTCAGAATTTTTAATTCGCGTCATTTTAAAAAGTGACTACAAGCAATCGAGCAAAAGTGCTGAGACATGGACACACAGAGCGCACAAGAACAAAGCGACCATTTCCTCGTGATAAAAAAAAGATTGTTCAATGTGATAAACGCATATCATATAAAAGATGAATAATAATTTCCTTTCCTGAATAGCTGCAGCTTGCTTACGCTTCTTTTCTTTTATTCAGCGACATTGCGCAGTATTTATACTCGTTTTGCTAGTTTTGTTTACTTTCTAAGTCCTTAGTCTTCTTTTACTTCTCAATTTGTCCGATACGTTTTAAAAATGTTCATTAATGCAGGAATGATTGTAATAAAAATGGCATTTCTATCTTTTGAAAATGATCGAAAATAAAAAGAATTACATTCGTAATCCCAAACTTTTCTGTACCGTTGTCCGTACTTTTGGGTTTTTCAATATTCTTGAAAAATCGGTGACTTTAACTAAAATTTCGACAATTTTGTATGGGAGGTACCCGCAAATAGATTCCTATTGCCTTTAAACTTTCTGAGGTTTCATTTTTTGAAGAAAAATTAAGATTCTGAAAGTTTCATGTTGATCTCATTTGCAGAAGTTTGGTTTTTGCCCCTCAACTTTTTCCAAGAAAATTTCGACAAAAATTGAGGACAATTTCAAAAATTTCATATGGGAGGTACCCGTAAATCGATTCCGATTGGTTTCAAACTTTCAGAATCTTATTTTTCTCTCAAAAAATGAAATCCCAGAAAGTTTGAAGGCAATCGGAGTCGATTGACGGGTACCTCCCATACAAAAGTGTCAATTTTTTTAGGTTTTTCTTAGGGCAAGTACCCCAGGATCAAATCGAAAATGGCTCATCTTCGAACTTAAACTAAGTTTTTTTAATACAAAACTTTTGGCATTTCCAGATTTTGATTATCTCAATTATTTTTTGAGTTATCGTGTTAACAAACAGCTACGACGACGACAACGACGACGGCACACGAACGGAAAAGTGTCTCAAAAAGTGGTTTTCTACGCGTTTCATGAGTTTTTATGATGATCTAAACCAATTTTGCGAAAAAAGTTTTCGGGACCAATTCCTATACTTTTCCTTGACACGTTGTGTACGGAAAAGTAAAATTAAATGAAGTGACCGGAACTTCTATAACTACACTAACAATTGCATTCATTTTTTGGAAAAATGTCCAAAGTTAGACTTGAGCTACACATCCAAAATATGACATTTAATCATCATGATGATAAGAAAGTGCACATTTTTGCATTTTGTATGAATAGTGTATCTAACACAAAACTTTTGAGTGGAATGTAAACTTTCAGACGCACCAAACATTCCTTTTGATCAATTTTTTCACTATTTGTTTACTACATCGAACTATGTTTTTCATAAATGTTTATATATTATATAATTCACTTTGTTACTCTGTGAAGAAAATCAAGAATTCTTCTATCGAAAAATAACTGTTTATATTATTCGATTATTGTTTATTTGAAAATCATTGAATTTAGCTCGTGTCGAGTGTTATTTGATCCGAATAATCCGATGTAGATATTTTCAAATTGTCAGTTTGAAAATTTGTATGGAATGCGAAATAGCGTCGGCAAAACTTCAAAACTTTCCATGCCACACACATATGTTGGCGATAAATTGAAACCCAACGATAAATACTGGAGTAATCGACAAAATTCTGATTTATATCAGATCCAATCATAATTGGATCAATTAACAAGTGATTTCGAAAAATTATTAGCTTGTAAATTTGTTACATTAAATTTTCGGTGGAAGAATTTGTGGAATATGACAAACTCGGTCTTTATTGGCCTGTTGAAAACGATTTGAAAAACGTGTTTGAAGGAATCAAAATGTCGTTTGGTCATTTGAATTGTTGATTTAGTCCATGTGAGCACTGCATTTGGATATGTTATAATTTAAACAGGTGTGCTCCACCCAAAATAAAGTCATCGCTGTCATAAAATTTGATTGAGGTGTATATTTAACCTTTACAAAATTTCGAACCACTAAATAGAACTAAAAATACTCTAGACAAACAAAGACAAACACATACAGAGACGAATTGAATTTGATCAAACTGTTTAAAATCGAACTAATTCACATTTTGCCAAAGCTAGTTTTACATTCTGTCATTTTGCAATTGAAACTTACTAATTCGAATGTCGTTCCCATGGCAATCCATATCCAAATGATGGTTCATGACAAGCGACGGTTGTACCAAACCGCCACGGTGATTGTGCAATGGCAGCTGATGTGCCATCGGATTGCTAATATCCGTCATTGCCATTGCTAGTGTTCGTTGCAGTTGTTTCGCCGGAAAATTATTTGAAATTTTAAAATTTCACCCGAAACAATTCGTTTGCACTATTTAATCGTCGTTTATCAACACTAATGAAGATCAAAAATGGTCAGCTATCTCTGCTACTTTCCAAATTCGGCGAATGTTCAGAAAATTTCAGTTTTTCTTTAATTTTGTGGTTTTTATTGCTATTAATTTGTAACGTACGTTCGTCAACCACTAACAATTTTTTATGGATAATTTTCTTTATTCTTTTCGGTTTGTTACGGAGGAAGGCACCGGTGAAATATCTTCACAAATATCCTACATGACATTCATATGTTTACCAAAACTGTGATATTTATTTATTTTATCTTTGACTGTCTCTATTTACTTCTTTTATGTGATCGCGAAACAAAAGGTGAGAATTGATGTTTATTTTTAATCACAACGAGCAAAAATTACTCTCTTTTTTTTTTAAATAAATGCGACGATCATGAGGAGAACTTTTGACTTTATTCTTATTCATTTGTCGTCGTTTTGTTTCTTGTGGGATGCGTGTTTTATTCAAAATAGAATTGTTGATCTTTTTGTTGTCTCCTTCAATGCCTTTATTTATATTTTATTTTGATTTACAATGTTTTTGTCCGAGCCGGTATTTGACGAATTCATTCAGCGTTCCAAAGACTGATTGGTGAATTTTTTTTATTTTGTCTCTGGTGAAATGTTTGTTTTTGTCCGGACTCCAACACAAACTCTGACACACAGAAAAAAAACCCGAACAGAAACAGCACTTTTTTTTCGCTCTCCCAAATTTATGTATGGTATATCCAAAAAAGCAGCAGTGGAACGAGAAATCAGACAGCGATATGTGACACGAACCAAATGTATCGCACTAACACGCTTCACGATGTGATCGTCGCAACTACCAACAAACTACTGAAGTCACTGTGCTTGTGCACAAACGTTTGAGGTACGGTACACACGGCAATGTCGAGAGCATGGCTCATTTGTTGTTTGAGCCTGTTTTTGTTATTTGTCGATTTTCGTTTCGTTTCTTTCTTATTTTTCGTTTGTACAAACGAACGCTACACCAACAACACACACTGACGCTGCTGCTGCTGCTGTTGCTGTTCGCTACAAGTTTGTATTGTTTTATGTATATGGATACATACGTGTATAGTCGGTCGTATCCTCGCCGAATATGTATACAAGCAACGTACATTGACTGGCTCTTCGGTGTATGCCCGTTCTCTCGAATGCCTCTTGGTGCGTAGTGTTCGTACGTGTGTATGTGTGTGTGTGAGCAACATTATTTTTTATCATTGCTTCGTTTGGCGTTGTTTGTGTGCGTTTCATGTATTCAATTTTTTAAGCCTCGCCCAGAAATCGATTTGATTGGTTGCTATAGCATCGCGCACAGTCAACGGTATGAGAGTGGAAGTTCCTTCAAACTGAAAGAAAGCCAGCGAGAGAGAAAGAAGAAACAACACACACGAAATCATAACACCAAACAGCATTTGATATTTCAAAGCGAACAAAGGTAACAAAATGGTCGGTTCTATCTTCTTCCTATTGTTGACGCTTTTCTGCTTTCTTTTCGCTTCATACTTGTTCTTGGAGATTTTATATGCTCCTCTGTTTTTCTTCTCTTTTTTATTTTTTTTTTCTGCAACTCAGCAAAAAAAAAACAATCACAGAAATGATTGTCAGAACATTTGTGTTGATAGAACGGCACGGAAGACGATGGAATAATAGAGCGAACAAAATAAACAAATATTTCAACGAATGTAAATTCCGAATGAAGAGAGAAAAATTCAATTGATAAAAGAAAGCAAATAGAGCGGAGCGAAAACATTTATGTCAACGCCAGAGCATTTGATAACAGCTTGAGCTTGGAAAATGGGGCCGTTTGCTGAGCTGAAGTCGCTCACACAACGATTCGATGTTTGTGAACAACGAAAACAAATATCTTTGGAATATTCTTGAAGCGACTTGACTTATTTATCGGTTTGTATGGAAGTAGAGTCGAAAAGTCAGAAAAATTGATAGATAAGACTGTGGCATTTTTAAGGAAAATGTTACAACAACAAAAACGTCCAACATTCGTATACATCCGATGCGTAGACAGTACTTAGATAACTAAATAGTTACCTGTTGTTTCACATCGTAAAATTTATTTTACCAAACTAACACAAATCGATGACACACAAAAACGGAAGCCATGAAAATGTAAATTTTTTACCAAAACGAAACAAAAAAACGCAAAAAGCCGCTCATAGTCTGACCACCGACTTTGCAACAAATGCCAGAATACGATGGCCATAAAAATAGCCGAGGCTGGTGAAATTAGCCGCGACAATCGCTTCGTTGTAGCATAGTAGCATATCGCACCGTAGACACATCATCATTTTCTGATACATGTGATTGTTAGACAGCCTTATCCATTTTTTATAACCGAACATATTTCGATTTTTTGGATTCTGGTTTTGTTCTTATTTCCGAATTCAAATTCGTTGTTTTCTCTGTATATTTCACGACAGTTGAGGTGTTATCGATTTTCTATCTCGTTATTTCAATGAACCCGAACCAGAACGGTTTTCTCGTTCGACACAATCCACATTTTGGCCCACATGTAACGAGCAAGTTTTTCCTCAAATCTTTTCCCGAAATGTATCAAATAGATGTGACAAACACGAAAGCAAAAGGGGTTTCAACAAACTCAAAGGAAAATTTGGTAGCGCTCACATAACAGGAGGATAAAAAGCGACACAACCGAAAAATGTCGAGTAAATAGTAAAGTCTGCAAAAGCAAGTGTTGTTTTTCACCGTTTATTTTTTTCCCGAAAAAAAGATCGATATCCATTAGGAAAATTAAAACCATTTTCTCTTTCCGTGTGCGTGTGTGTGTGTGTGTGTGTGTGTGTCGGGGCGAATGCTTCGCCGTTGCGTCGTATTCGATGGTGGCGTTCTGTGTGCGAATGTAGGTTTTGTTGTTATGTATTTCCAAATGAAAAGTGCTCAATGCTCATAGTTATTCAGTGGTTTTCCTCTTTTTCTCTCTCGTTCTCTGTTTATGTAATGGTGTCGAGAAGACGAAGGGCACACTTTAATGTCGGCCGTTCCGGCTTTTTGTTTACGTTGATTTTAATCTTTTTTCCCTCAGTGTGTATGTGTTTGTGTTTGTGTATATATTTCAGCGATACTTGATATTTCGAGGCCTAGACAGGACATTAATTTTATCTTATGGAATATGCATTTAACTCGATTTTATAGTGTTTTCAATTAAATTCATAATAAACGAAACAATGTTTGCGACGCTTTAAGCCGTTAAATTTATGAGGATTCAGTCACTTTTCAACAGATTGCCAAAAAGTCTTCTTCATCGCACCGATTTTGGCTCAACGAATCATTGGTTCCAATGGAAAAGAGCAAAATGAATGGAAATGTTTAGATTTCATTGAAGAACGGAAAAAAAGTGCATTTTATGGAATGCATTATCACAACTTATACGGCTGAAGCTAAAATGCGAACAAAATTTTCCGGGAAATGTAATGTGTTACGGTATGAAAAGGTTATGCGACGACATATTTATGATTTAGCGCAACGTGTAAACATTCGCATTTGTCGTTTTCAACTACAAAAGTGAGTGAAAATCTCCTTGAAATCACATTACATTTTGGTTCATGTTTATTCTCGATATATTTGCAGATTGTTGCCAATCCGTGTGGCTTTTACACAATATCGCTTTACTCTCACTCATCATCATCGCTTTTCACACTCGGCAACAACGAGAAAAACTAAAAAAAAGTCTGTCTAAGTGCACGGTAGACAAGAGCATCACCGTATTTATTGTGTGGATGTTTTACAGTTGTGTAATTACACAGCGAAATTCTAGCAAAAATAATAAAAACGAGAGAACGTGACATACTCAACTCACATATGTGTTCTCGAAATTTCGTACAGCATTTACATTCACTTCACATCATAATATTTGTGCTTTATTCTACTTAAGGGATAAAACCGACTCTCGGCACAAACGCAAAATTCATCTACGTTCTTGGGGCTTCTCTTGTGCTGTTGCTGCTGTGGTGCGAACACACATTTTTATGGGCCGAATGTGTTTTGTGTCGTCTTGACGATTACAGCATGCGTGTCTCTGAGTGGTTAAAGATCATCAGAAGAGAGATACCGTATAGGTTATTTTTGTGGCGAAAAACCGGGTGTTTTCTGTGATTTTCTTCTCCTTACCTTGAGCCACTTACAAGCACACATATGCTCACGTTTCATTTATATTGGGCCATGTTGCTGCGAATTACGGCACGAAACATTCAATTAGAAGTAACGCAACACAGTATCAACGTTGTGCTCATGTTTGCAGCGGCATGGTATAATGGAAAAAAACTTACAACAAATACCAGCGAATAAACACTGAACAATCTGTGTATTGAACGAGGATTTTCACAGATCAACATCGTGCACGAGTTGCGTGAAATCCGCGATATGAGGTAACAACACAACAATACCGATTTAACCGAAGAATATTCCGCGTAACTCGGAATTAATGCGGTGAAAATCGTATACGTATAGACTATAGCTACCAAATCAAACTTTTAGGCAAGAATGGAATTGATGGTGCGCATGGAATCGCGTCGAATTTCTTCATTTTTGTACGGAAATGTGGAGAAGTTTTATTTTTATTTTGCGATGTTAGCATTTGCAACCGAATACGTGCTTCTGACTCAAACTCAACGAGAAAAGACAATTTTAGCGTTTCTTCGAACAGATTAAACTGTGAACAATAGCCTATACGTACGGTGGTGCAACTTGATTCAACTGAAAATCGTTTTCGTGCAGTCGCTCGCTCTCTATTCGCTGTGTATATTTTGATTTTTATAATTTAACGTTTGATGTCACCGGAACAAAAGTCCATAGAAAGTTATAATAATAACGTACACAATATACTCGAGAGTTAACAATAGCAACAGCGACAATTCACACTGAATGGCACTCTCTCTCTCTCTCTCTCTCTCTCTCTCGCTTGCAAGAACACTGCATTTTGCACACCGAATAGTCAATATTGTCGCGCGCGCTCGTTCACAATACAATACATTGTGTATGCGTTTTTTTTGCTTACGCTTTTGTTTCGTTCAATCAGGAAAAAAGGCCAAAAATATACGCTGCTTGGGGTTGAATACAGAAGTTGACTTCTTTCCACTTCATTCATAATAAACGCTGAAAATCGACTCTTATTATCAATGCGACAGTTTTTTTTGTGTGTTGTTTCTTTAAGTGAAAATCATTTCATGCGTCAAATAAATATGTTTCTCCCGCACAAATTTCATTATTATGGGTGCTGAGGACAATATTAAAAACATTTCTATTGCTTAGCTTCAATTTTCGCAGGAGACAAAAATACCTACCGATAATTACAACCGTCATGATAGAATGCGACACAATAGGCTGAATCTTCCGATTTGCAATTGACAAACGCTCAACAAACCCAAACAATGGTAATTGTCATTGCACACGTGGTAGAAAATTGTAAGCGAAAATTGATCGAAAAAAATTGCAAAGTTGCTTCCCATTTGAAATAATCACCGTGACACATTTGGAGAAAAAAAATGGGCACGCAAATTCAAGATTATTCAATCTAATTTGAAAGTATTTACTTTCAATAACAGAAACGCGACTCAAATATTCGATTATTCATTTCTAAATGTATCGTAATAAAATACGCACAATTCCGTTAACACTGCATCAAAGTTCAAGGAATTCAATTTTATTCTCAATGAAAAGTGATTTTTGCATGTTTGAATTGAACGCGGGCTATAGATGGTAATCTGTAGTTGGGCGAAGGGAAAGAGAGAGAGAGAGAGAGAGAGAGAGAGAGAGAGAGAGAGAGAGCGGAGCATAATAAATAGCCATATGTGCAGTTGGA